TCCGGCATTCCTATAATAAATGGACATTGGCGTCTGGGGAATGATCAAGATTTGTGGTTCAAACTGTTGAGTCATGCATCTCATTTTGTATCACAGGATCAATTGAGTGGTTCAGTCCAGCCGCAAGCTTGCTAGGCTAAGCTATGTATCTGCGTGACGGCTTACATGGACCTGACGATCAATTCCATATGCGAGCTACTCCGTATAAACTTCAGAATTATACCAGCATGCATGCCTGCCATATACACAGGAAGCTTGTACAATATGATCATAGCATACTACATTCTGTCCCACTAGCTATACATACACCGCACCTCCAACCCAACCACGTAAACAAACAAAGGCAGAAAATCACTTCCTAACAGCAACAACAAACAACCTGGGATATCTCAACATCACCCTCCCATCGGCCCTTTTCTCATACCTCTCCCTCAACAATCCCTCATACACCCTCAAAAACTCCTTCCGTTCCTCCTCTCCCCTCAACCCATCCAAATACGGCCTCAACCCCGTCCCCTTCACCCACTCGACAATGTCCCTCCAATCCCCAAGGGAATGATAGTACACTGTCTCCCAGATCCTCAGATTCTCACAAACATCCACCAACGCATCATAGATTTCTTCAGGGGCATCCAACTCATCCCTCTCCACAAGCGCACTCCGTAGATGTTCCGCCCAGGGCCCCGTCCTCGCGACCTCCCGCATGGAAGTATGCGATGGCAGGTTCAAGGTATCCGGGACCTGGAAGGCGAAGACGCCGCCCGGGGGAAGAGTCAGTAAGAGTCTGCGAATAGTAGGGAGACGAGTGGAGCGGGGCAGCCAGTGGAGGACGGCATTGGAGAAGAAGAGATCTACGGGGTGGTCTGGTGGGGGAGAGTAGGATTCCACGTCGGCGACAGCGAAGGTGGTGTTTGATGTAGATGTAGATGACTCCTTGGCGCGAGCGATCATGTTTGGGGAGGAGTCGATACCGGCGATGCTCGGACAGGATGGGTAGCGGGCGGAAAGCATGGCGGTGGAGTTTCCGGGGCCGCAGCCAAGATCGACGATGTGGGAGGGAGATTGCAATGGGATGTGTGATAGTAGATCTTGGGTGGGGATGGCGCGCTCGTCGGCGAATTTGAGGTATTGAGTTGCGCTCCAGTCGGACATTTTGGCCGGGTGGGTGAGGAGTTGGGTGATTCGCTGGGGACTGAGTGATAGTCGAGGACGGAACATTGATGGTTTGATGCTACTGGCTGTGGATGAATGTGTTGTTGGTGTTGATGGTGTATAGAAGTATTTATATCTGGTTATATTTGATGTGAGGTATATAAGTGGGAGATGATGTTACTATGGAAGTGGTTAGTTGAAAGTGCCGGTCTCGGCGGAAACATGATTGGCTTCTCCGTTCAAGTATCACGGGACAGGAACATTCTTCGTCAAATCCTGCTTACTTGCTTATTGCACTGATATCATCTTATGCTGTCAATCCGGAAGGCGCGGGTACTTGACTGTAAACATACAGAAATCGGATCAACGATCTCGTTGGGGCCTTCCACAACCCGCACGTGACAGCGCGTTGCCGCTGCCGATACATGGAAGATTGGAGGTAACAACTTCAAGCAGGATAGTACTATTCCTCCATAATATATGATTACACTTTTAAACTAGGCATGACATACGGTATGCCCTGATTCAAATACTGAAATAACCTCATTCGAGCATTGTCCATGTATCGTTCATCCTACTAGCGAGCAGCTATATATTATGAACAATCGAGCCTTCTGAGTATGACAATGCCACGATGAAAACAGCACACAAACCAATGCAGACGCAGTCAGCATTGCCAACTCTAAATATAACCAGCACTACTACATAGAGCACTACACATATTTGACAGATTATACACTTTATGCAGTCAGCATCACCTAAAATATACATACATAAGCACCTCCAACACCGATTCGTTCAACCACACCCTAAAAGTACTAACCAATAACAGCAAGTAAATACAAACAATCATCTGAACCATAAAACAAGCCTACAAACCTATTACCCATGCATCTAACTGCGGGGTAAGCTCACACTTGCAGGGTAAGCAAGAGCTGTCAATGAAACAAAGCTCACGCAGCAGCCCGAGCATCTCCATGACAAGGATCCCTGGTTCAGATCAGATGACCACAGACACAACTAATGCTCGAGTCCTTGCTCATTTATAACCAGCAGTAACTGACTCGTACGCTACCCTAGTAGCAGAGAGCAGAGTATTTCGCTACCTGTTCCTAGTATGTACAATATGACACAATAATGAATAAAATTCAGAGTGTTCCCCCTTACACTACATCCACACAAGCTCAAAGTTTCCCAGTTCCCCCTCACCCACTCAACCCCTCGTATCAAACATTCCAGAACACCAATCGAATTCCAATTACACTTTGCATATGACCTGTCATTTTCCAGACTACAGCTAAAGTAACTCAGGCGGAAATAGCTCCCGTTTACTTTAGAAAACTGCTGGTAGGCTTACCCGAACCAGAACCAGAATAAGAGATGAAAGAGAAGCAAGCGAGTCCCGTACCCGAAACACGAACAAACCACAACCTAGAAGCAGCAGCAGCAGCAGCAGCAGCAAGCAGCAAGTAAACTCAAATCTGAGACATTCGACGGACAGTATCTATGGGACAACTGTATGCTGCGTCGGCGAGGCCGATAGTCTAGTCTAGATCATCAATCATCATCTGCTTTCACCCTCTCTCTCTCTCTCCATTTTGAATAACTTCCCAATAGATTGAATTATGTATAAATACCCAATTAGATAATAAGTCATCTACTAACTATCGCCTCCTCCACAAACCCGTATAACTATTACATAATACACCGGTGGCAGTGGTTTTATGTCTTTATGAAAATAAACCACGGATGAATGTCCAGATTGAGTATCTGCTCCTAACCAGGCTTGACAAGCAGGTATGAAATCTCATTTCCTGGGATGTAATTGGTCTGTCGGTGTTGTCCGAGTTCCCACCCCACAGAGCGGCGCGCGCGCGCCCCCTGTCAAAGTGGAGAAGGGATTTCGTAGGCGGTGAGGAGAGTGTAAACTGCCTTTTGTAAACCTTGTTTCAAGAGAGATCCTGCTGGTGCTGGAGCCTAGATACATCCATAGTTTAGTTTGCTCTGCTCTGCAGGGCGTATGAGTTGTACGATAGTACTAGAGAATGTTTGTTAAATGCAATGCAATGTGCCAATCACAATCTATATACGCTAACACCATATGAACATTGGGTATCCCAATCCAATCATCAACATCAACAACAGTAAGAAGCAAAAAACAACTAGTTAGAAGCATCCTCATGCAACCGGACCGTCACGTTATCTCCCGGCGCATTTGTCAGACTCATCTGCATCGTAATCTCACCCTCCTTGGTCTTGCCCACGCCCTCAATAACATCGAAGCGCTGCAACAGTCTCACCAACACATAGCCCGTCTCGGTCAGCGCAAACTGCTGCCCAATGCAAATCCGCGGCCCACCGTTGAACGGCAGGTACTCCCATCCGGCCTTGCGCTCGTTCCAGCGATCCGGACGGAACTCATCAGCATCGGCGCCCCACAGATCAGGCCGACGGTGCATCACGTAGGTGCTGTAGAAGACGGGCTGGCCCTTCTTGACGTAGACAGGGTCCGTGCCCGCGGGACCACCGCCCGTGGGGAGGGTGGTGTTGCGGACGGCCGTGCGGCGGTTACCAGGGACAATGGGGTAGAGACGGAGAACTTCATTGAGGAAGTTCTGCAGGGGACGGCAGGACTTGAGGTTGGCGAAGGTGATGTCATGGGGGGCGGAGTAGGAGCCGAATTCCGCGAGGATGGTGGCGCGCAGGGAGTTGAAGTAGTCCGGGTGGCGGGCGAGGAAGAGAATGCACCACGACAGGAGAGAGGCAGTGGTATCGCGACCGGCGAGGAGGATGTTGAGGAGCTGGGAGCGCAGTTCGACGGGGTCGCGGGTGGCTTCGGCCAAACCGTGCAGGAAGACGTAGTGGCCGGTGGGTTTCTTCTCCGGGTCGGAGTTGAGAGCGGCGGAGACGAAGCGGTCGACGTAGGCGTGCACGGCTTTGTTGATGGCGCGGCTTTCCTTGTTGTTCACAATCCAGTAGAGCTTTTCGAAGCGAGCGCGTTGGGCGGAGTACCATTGACCGCGGTCGAACTGGGCAGGGAAGTCATCCTGGGGCATGGCACCGTTGCTGAGGGCGGCGGCTTGGCTCTGGACACTCTCGCCGAAGAGGAACTCGGTCGCGGTGTCCATGGTCAGGCGGAAGAAGATGGTCTGGATGTCGGTGGCGGCGGTCCAGCCGGTGGTGGCGTCGACGGGCATGGCTCTCATGGCGACTTGGACGTGACGCTCCTCGAGATCGAGGTCGCTGATCTGGTCGCGGGTGAACTGGGGACGGAGGAGAGCGCGAGAGCGAGACCAGTGGTCGCCATCGGCAGTGAACTGGATACGAGTTAGAAGGGTGATGGTTTGCATAGAAAGTGGTGGACGTACAATACCGCTGCCTAGCAGCCAGTGCAGAGCGTTGCGACGGGACTGGCCCAGCTCAAAGTCCTTGAACTGAGTGGCCAACAAGGCCTGGACATTCTTGGGATCGCAGGTGCTGATGACATCGGTGCCCAGCTGACGGAAGTGGAATGTAGTGGTATAGCGATTCTCGCGGGCGGACATGATGTCAACACGGCGGCGGGTGACTGTGGGCACCTGGCGAGCCTTGTCCATAGCCAGCGCCTCCTTCAGGGTGTTGATGCCCAGCACATCACCGGGGTATGAGGGAATACTCCCGCAGTTCCATTTACGAGCATTTTGCGCATGTTGCCAGCGAGAGAGCAGCACATATAGGAGGTAGAGGATGGGGGAGGCCGTTGCGACAAACAAAAGTGTCGACATGGCGAGGGTTGAGGTGGGGGGAAGAGAGGGACAGGAAGATGAAAGTGGGAGTGAAGAGAAAAAGCCAAAACTGGCGAGGCAAAGAGGGGTTGATGAAGGTAAATAAATGTACCGGGCGGGAAGTTAGATTCATTTATGGTACAACTACCAAAGTGAATACGATGGAGTATCAGGATGGCCAGCAAACCGAGTGGCCGGCAACCGAGGCAGATCGGACCATCCTCATGATAGAGAAAGCAAAAAAGCAGTATGGACACATCGGACCGTTGGAAAGGAACTTCAGATGATTAGTCGTGGCAGTGGAGTACCGGCGACCCCTAGTCTGAAACCTCGGAGCTTCCAACTGGATGGAAGCAGGAGGCCGGCCATGACAGGCTTCAGGGGTGGAGAAAAAGTATCTGGTTTGACCCGGACATATCGCCATCTGTTCATCCTTATTACCGCCGAGTCTGCACAAGCATTCCCCTGGCCTATAGTGCACCACCACTATACCTTCTCCCTAAAACGAACAGGGCCAACCGGATTGCAGGCTTACGGGAAAGATGCATCCTGGAGGATGATTAGTCTGCAGCCACACTGGTTGGTTCCAACATCACGGCTTTGCATCTACATTGTACTTAGTATGTACTTTGCAGTTTGCACACTATATTAGCCTTGATGGCATTGGGTGTTCCCGGCCCCATCTTAGGGCACACTCCACTGCATCAATCCCAACCATAACAATCTCATTGTGTGTTCAGTCATCCATTCATTCCTCTTTCTATTATTATGATTATGATAGTTCACTACGTAAACTAGTTCTTCATGTTCTGTGGAATGACTCACTCACTCTTTGGTTCCAGGGGTACTGAACCAAGAACCCAACCACATGCTGTTCCCATGCCAGGTCCGAGGTAGGTTTCACCTACAGAATTAGGCAAATGCAAGTGTTTCTGCCCGCGCTCGACTTCCCAATGCGGTATCTGTGCGTGCCGCTCATTTCGGTCGCCCTGCCGGCACTTTATCTCTGTCCAGCAACACTTCCGATCTCTAACTATGCTAATTTAGAACGTTAGTCACTAAAATCGCTCCATGCTAAATGGACTGGCTGGGATGGTCTCATCCCCACTACACTTTCCGCCGCACCAATCCACGGAAGAAGTCAAAACTGTTACTGTCGCTCTGCAGCTGCCACACCCGGCCCGTCGGCCGGTCATCCCAGCCCAGTTCCTCTGCCAGCAGTAGCCCGTAATCCCGCGTGATCCCCTTAATGCGCGCGCGCACCCCCCCTTCTTCCTCCAACGTCACCACCTGGTGCATGTGCAGCCAGTCTGCGTAATACATCTCTTCGAATCCCCGATCGAACCCGGCCCGCAGGAATCGCGTATACAGCTCCTCAAACGTCGTCAGAATGCGCGCCAGCAGCTTCTCCAGTGTGATCGGGGCGGCCCGGGGCCCAAGGAACCGCGCCGCCAGCGCCGTCAACGACGTCGTAGGCGATGCGTTCGTTGCGTTGATGCCAATGCCCACGACCGAGATGTACTCGTTCGCGCAGTAATGCGAGTTCACCAGGATGCCGCAGATTTTCGAGTACTGCTTTTTATCCGGGTTCTCCGGGTCCAGTGCATCTGTCGGCTGATCAGCATCGTCCCAATCCCTCGATCAGATCGTAAGAAAGGATCACTTACACACGTCATTCGGCCACTTCAGCTTGACCGGTAACTCCGAATATCCGTCGTCGTAGTTCTTGATTCCTTGCACCACCGCCATCGCCGCCAAATACTGGATAAACACTACTGGTGCTGACTGTATCTTCTCGAGCGGGTGGCGCAGCACCGTTGAGAATATCAGCGCTCCGGCCGGCGACACCCAGACGTTCGATCCGCGGCCGCGGCCTGCCACCTGGGTCGTAGCGCTGGCGGTGAAGCCGTTGGGCAGCTTGCGCAGCAGCTTGGGGTTTCTGACCCGTCAGTCGTGTCTCGCTTCTGCCATCGGACAGGTCTACTTACTTTTCCAAGATCGTGTTCGTGCTGGTGACGACCTCGCCATACACGAGGTGGGAGCCAAACTCGGATGCACCCTCGCGGGACTGCGATTGGTACTGGTGGAGGTTGGAGTAGAAGGCATGGTGATTGAAGTAGGGCGTCAGCTTCGATGATGGCACGTCGTCGTGCACCACCAGTCGCTTAACGATGGCGTTGTAATCCACGATACCCTCCGTAGACTGCGATGACGCTGGGAGGGAGTCCTCCAGCTGGCTCAGGTTCCACGCGCCGGGTCTCTCAATCCGGAATGTGTCATTCTCGTCCTTCAGAATCTCCTCATTGCCATCCTTGGTGATGATCTCCTGCCATGACGCCACCAGATCGGCCGTCTCGGCGGGCTCCTGCGAGGACAGATGCAGCGACGACAGCGACGGCACGGTGGTCGTGCTCTGCGTCACCTGCAGGCCCAGCTTGACCAGACATGCCTTGAGGAAGTCCGTGCGCGCCTTGTCATCAGCCTCCAGCGCCTCCACGACCTTTGCATAGTCGGGGCCACCGGCTTTTTTATCCAGGTTTGCAGCTGCGAACCTACCATTCATCAGCACACGTCACCTAGACCACCTGGAACCACAGAGGATTTAGAAATACTCACTCCGGATGCGGTCCCGTAAGAACAACCCTCCCCTCCCCAACGCGACAAAACACCACGGCGGCCTTCCCCTCCCCAGAGTCAACATTCAATTCCTCCTCAAAGCTCGCCAGCACCTCCACTCCCTTATCAGCAAGAGTTGGCGCATCCACAAACACCCCGCCTCCATTATAGTAGCACTTGAACCGCTCCGGCACAATCCCCGCATTTAGGATATCCTTATTCACCGAAATCTCCGCGGCCCTCGCCCCCGCCTCACTATGATAGACGAACCCCGCGAACGCCCCTCCGCGACATGTCCCCGGGTAGAAGGCCAGTTCACGCTCTCCGATAACCTGAAGTGTCTTATCGCCGACTTCGAATTCGCAGCGTCGGGAACCGTAGTACCCGCCCGCGCAGAAACCGAGGTAAGCGCCGCCGCGCTTGACGAATTGTTCGATGCGGCGATTACCGGGGCCATTGAGAACGCGACCGTAGCCTAGATCAGCGCCACCGGGGATGACGAGGAGAGCGCAGGTAGCAGTCCAGGGTTCGCGGAGGAGGGCGTCGGAGGTGACGGGGATGACGGCGTAGTGGGGGGCTAGAAGGCGGCGGAGGGAGTAGAGGGTGTGGCGGACGGATTCGATGGTGGTTCCATTGCCTGTAAATCAAGTATGTTATAATGAGTATCTTGTAGTGTATAGTATTTTATGAGTGACAGTCAATGGGATCGTGGATGGTGAAGCGGGGAGAATTAGAGGGGAGAGTGACGCACCGGAATAGACCAGAACGTTGACCTTTTTGCCGGTCATATTGGGGGTCGCCATTTTTGCGGCAACTACCTGCAACTCTCTCGGAGCAACCACTCAAGCAAGCAGTCAGACAGTCAAGCAAGCAAGCACAATGTCGGACCAGGAGAAAAGGGAGAACCCGCCCGTGGAGGTGGAGGAAGACGACGACGAGCCGGATGAATGGTGAGTTGTTGGGATGCGAAGATCGGAGGAAGGGAAAAGCGTTGGTTGAGCTGACAGTCCATCCAGGGACAAGCGGATCTTCAGCACCGGCTGTGCAGGTACATTGCCATCTTCCATGCCCTATTCTGAATTACTGCTAAGAGACAATTACAGCGGAGCAAATGAAAATGAACGACTGCTGGTTCGAAAAGAAGGACTGGCGCCAGTGCCAGAGTGAGGTACAATATCCCCATCCCATCCATTATCATCTCGCAACCCTCACTCACTAAATTGCATCAGATGGAAACCTTCCGCGAGTGCTGGAAACGTCAGGGCAACGACGAGCGCACACAGACCAAGGATGCTTAAATGATACCGATACCGATACCACAGACCATTTGTACAATAGAACAATTCTACTAAGACTTTCCACTTATCCTCCATCCTCCTTTCCCCAGAGCTATTTACTCTGTAATCACGTGATACTATACAGCTCTGACTTCATTTCTCTTCCCGCTGCACCTTCCCACCACATCCCCGACCACAACACCTCCCCACAGCCCTCTACAATGTCCCTCCCACTTTTAACGCGCTCCCTGCGCGGTCCCCAACTTAGCAAAACTCTCCGATACTCCCTCACTACTACAACCCGCTATCAATCCACCACCACCAACAACAACACCGCGAAACCCGCCGCCACCACCTCCACAACATCAACAACACCCAAGCCCACCACCACTACATCTACCTCCTCAACCTCCACCCCCAAAACCACCCCCACCCTTAAAGACCTCCTCGACACGCCCCCCTCACCCACGAACCCAACGGAAGACCGCATCGACTGGACGCGCTCCTTCCACGGGCTCAGCGCAACCCCCTTCCCGAAAGAATGCGCCGACATCCTGCTCGCCCCGACCGACCCAGAAGAAGTGGAAATCAAACCCGACGGCATCCTCTACCTCCCCGAGATCAAATACCGTCGGATACTGAATAAGGCGTTTGGACCCGGTGGATGGGGTCTTGTGCCGAGGAGTGAGAGTATTGTTACGCCGAAGATGGTCACGAGGGAGTATGCGCTTGTTTGTAATGGGCGGTTAGTATTTTCTACTTCCTTTCCCTGGGGGGTGTGATATGGGTGTGGAAGTGGTGATAGGCTAATTTGGTGATTGTGTGTTGGTGTAGGTTGGTTTCAGTTGCTCGCGGCGAACAGGATTACTTCTCCCCGGATGGAATCCCCACGGCTACGGAGGGATGTCGGTCGAATGCGTTGGTGCGGTGTTGTAAGGATTTGGGCATTGCGAGTGAGTTGTGGGATCCCAGGTGGATTCGCAAGTTCAAGGCGCAGTATACCCGCGAGGCGTTTGTGGAGCATGTGGTGAATAAACGGAAGACGAAGATCTGGGTGAGGAAGGATGATACTGTTGGGTATCCGTGGAAGGAGACCAAGTTTTAGTCTTCCGGTCTCTTCCATTCCATTCTCATTCTATTTCTATGTGGGGAGCAAGTCTCATGATGAATACGTGATACACTAAATTCTGTATAACAGGTTAATGTACGATATCATTGCGAATTACATGCTAATAGATCAGTCCACTCATAAAATACTAATAATACATCATATGCAACAATCTAAGTGGCCGTTTTTGCAAGGAAAAGAAGAAAGGAAGAAATCATCATCACTCATGGCTACTGGTTACCCGCTCCCTCGTACGGCCGTCGCGGCACATATCGACCTGGCTCAGTTTCTGTCAGGTGTGTCGAATGGTGCTCCCGTGCATCTGGCGTCTGCTGCTCATGCATCGACGGAAGCTCAAACGGCTGGTTTGGGTCGTAGGGGTCCTCCGTTGGGTCGTAGTATTGTCCCGGGTAGTTGTAGTACTCGGGCGGCTGCTGAGGCGGCTGGGGCACTGCGACCTGGGGCAGCGTGGGCTGCGCCTCCTGGCGATGACGGGGAGGGACTGGTTCAGAGAGCACCGGGACATCGCCTCGAGGGGCAGCCACGGACTGGGGCTCGGGTTCAGGCTCGACGTGTGAAGTGCGGCCCTCCTTGCGACGACCAGTTGACGGTTCGCGGGTCATGAGTCCGTAGGTCACATTGAGTTGGCGCTCCTGACCGGGGGATCCCACGGGTGTCTGGTAGTGGTCGACTTCGTGACCGTCGCGTGAGCCGTCCTGCGACCGGGCTGCGTGCTCTGCGGTGAGTCCTTCGCTGTAGGAGCTGGAGGCGCCCATGCCACGACGCTGCAGCGACTGAGGGGAGTTGCCGAGATCGAAGCCAGTCGAGCGCGATTCGGTGTATGAGACGCCAGCGGTGGTGTTAGCCCGACGCATGCCTTCGCTGGCGATGGAAACCTGGCGGACGGGGAGAGTTTGGTCTTCGTGTCCAGCATCCGACTTGTTGTCGTCCTTCTCGGTCTTGTCATCGTCGTCGTCGCTGGCGCCTGGGGCGCGGATAGGTACCTTGCGCACAGCGGAGATCAACGCGCACATGAACTTCGAGCGACGGGCAGCTCGGACAGCCTCGTTCGACCAGTTGGATTTGTGGCAGATTAAGACACTCAGCTCCATCTTGTCCATGTCGCCCAGACCAACCACATCAATGGTGACCTCTGGCTGGAAGTCGCGGCAGTTGTCCTTGTCGCGCACGAAGCTCTCCATCTCCTCCTGGAGAAGCTGGACGTTGGAAAAGGTGGTCTCGAAGCTGACGGGGACGGTGAGGCGCTCATGCATCGCATTGGCACGGGTGAAATTGTCAATCCATAGGGTGTTGAGGACGACGTTCGGAACTTGCGTGATACGGTGATCGTTGACATTTCGGAACACGGTGAAGAGCAATGAAATGCGCTCGACAAAGTACGGCTTGTCGCTGATTTCCACACGGTCACCCACATCAAAGGGATGCTTGACGAAGAGGAAGATACACGAACCCAGCACTTCCTGAGCGGTGGTCGAGAAGACGAAACTGAGAGACAGCAGAGAAGTGGCACCCGCGGCGATAACGGTGCCGAAGCCGCTTGTCACGAAAGAAACAAAGACCAGAATAGCAATGATACCCGCCACGGTCAGCAAAAGGTTGTCGAGAACGTGGATCGCCTGGTCAACATCGTGGAGACTGTTGTTCAGGGACTTTCTCAAGCGGCGGACTTCACCGATGGCCAAGATCATCTCTTCCAAGCTGATGTCCCCGTTGCCGTCGCGATCCAGCATGTGGAAACATTCCTCGGCTTCAGCCTCCATGCCAGCTCCCAGGACCTCACAAATATCGTCAAAGTACAGAGCATCGCGGCCTTCAATGACAAAAGACATCCAAATTCTCCGCGCGAGCGCTTCAGACGTCCGTCTGTGTTCCAGAGCCTGGGTGACGACGGACCGAGTGGAAGTGGGGTTGAAAACTTGCTTGCCAGTCAGTTCATGGGCCACGTCGCCAAAAGCCGCCGTGACTTTGTTGCCGAACTGGTGGACATTTTGGCCCACGCCCCGGATGAGGCGCAGAGGCGCTGATGAGCTGCCAGTGCGGGTCTTGATGGCTGCGGAGCGAAGAATGGAGTCGGAAATGGCCGCGTCTTCCTCTTGGAACTCTTTGCAGTACATGGGGAACATGTGGCGCGAGGCGTCGAATAGCAGAGCCACCAGATACACATTGCGCTTCGATTCTTTGATGCGGGCATCAAATTGCTTGCGGTGGTAGCTGATTGAGATCAAATGAACCATGGTTTTCTCAGCCAGGAAAATCAAACTGCAGACAAAGAGGGCGAACAGGATGTTCTTGATGGACTTCTCCCAGGATTTGGTAGAGGTATCGCCCTTGGCTTGCTGATGGGGATTTTGCGTCATGACCTGGAGGAAAAGTTAGTGGATGGCACGTATAATGGAATCAGACTAGACTTACAGGCAAAAAGGTAACCAAGCAAACCACGCACCACAGCACGGTTGCAATTGGCATTTCCAATTTGCGTAGAATGAGAGCATATTTGCGAGTTCCTGAACTCACAAACCCGATAAGGGTCTGAAAGATGTACGGCAAGAGTTTGGCCGCAAGTTTACACAACCACAGACTGATCCAGACGATCTCAATCCAGAACCAGAACCACGGCAATGTGACGCCGCCGATAGTCGCGTCCTGCGCGACCGTTGCTCCCACGATAATGGGGATGGCAAGGAGAATTGCGAGCGGGGCCACGTAGATGAAGTAGCGAGTGAGAACCGAGTAATTAAGGATGGCCTGGTAGATGCGGCCCATGCGAGTGACGGTGCCATCCTCGGGGTCTTCTAGGGAACGTCCGGTGCCTTCGTCGATGCGTCTGCGCATGCCGGGATTTGGCGCGACCAAACCCTCCTTCTCGCCGTCAATGCCTTTGTCATCGCCGGGTGGTTGATACGGATTCGGCGATCCTCCCACATTACTACTTGTCTTGCGAGCGCCGGTCTGATTCCGACTGGGAACCGGGTTCAAGGGGATGTCAATAGTGACGTCGTTGGGATTCATCATGTTGTCCGGGGCCATGTCGGGAAGCTGCTGGAAGCGATGAGCCGACAGCCGCTTCTCCGTGATACCAGGTCTGCCGGACATGAATTTTGAAAATGGCATTGGGAATGAATTAGGGAAAGAGACGGTCTAAAAAGTAAGGCCAGAAGCTGCCCTGCAGCTCCAATTAGCGAGCGATGTCGCAATTGGTCGGCTTAACTTCCAGGGACGTAAGATCGCTTTGCACAGTCCAGGCAGGATCTGACAATGACTGGGTGAATGAGTGTTGGAGTCCACTGGTTCGTGTGGAGAGCGGGTGGGTCGAGCGAAAGTAAAACCGCATGGACTGGACCAGGACTTGAGACGTTAGTTGGTGAATTAGAGCGGCAGCGAACGGACGTATATTTTTGTTAAAGGATCGGGAATAGGTGGAAAAGAGAAAGAGAAAAGAAGAAACGAGAGGGACAGGCATCGGAAATGAAATGCGTAGAACGCTGTCAAGGGGGAACAGGCCGAAGGCCCGATGAAGGAGAGAAACAACGACAAGCCAGGCGAAGGAATGTCAAAGACGCGAGTGTCAGAAAGCCAGAGGGAAAATCGAGGGGAGCAACCCACGCGAGCATGTTTCAGTCGGGCTGAAGTCACTGGCGTGCAATAATGGAGTCATCCTCTTTTTGGAGGCTGGCCTGGTTGGAATCCGCCGATCATTCCCTGGGCCCATAGTTGCTGTCGGACTGGCGACTGCTGGTGGTGCCTTTCTGTTCGTCGCGATGATATAATAGGCAAGACTATAGGCCTCTCTAAGCCCTATCAGCGTCCCTGAAGGCGATCGATCTGAATTCTGAAGGGGAGAGACAGCCCCCACTGGTGTGAATTTTAGTTCACGGCACTAGTTTTGAGTTGGGAAGTTGAATTGCGTGAAGTGAGTACGTAGAATCACAAAAATGATTACTAGTCAGGGTGGCGGTCACGTTACGAGGAACGTCACACAAGCCATACCGGCAAAGCCCTATTGCCTACTTTCGGCCAGTCTAGGGCATTGCTCTGTCCAAGGTTCTCCCTCTCCCTCCCTCTCTTTCTCTCTCTCTCCTTCCTCTCGCACTTTCCACGGCCCGCGACCGTTGGAACCAGACAATCCTTTCAGGTGGTTCCAGCCAGTTTCTTGTCTTCCTTTCAACTTGGCTAATTATTTCCCTGGTTACAACTGAACCAGTCCCCTACATTTCATTCAGGCACAAAACTAACCAAAATATCGGGGTTGTGGTTCTGATTGTGTGGCTGACGCTAGTGCATTTACTTTGTAATAACTCGGTCGTTTACTATACCCCTTCAAGCATTATCTTTACTTTTACCTTAACAGTGAACCTTGTAACTTTGTAAGGTTGTTAGTTTGTAAGGCTGATTTGCCGTTCAGTGCCACTTCTCGCCCCTGAAATCTGCTGCAATCAATCTCACTGAAACCATATCATGCACACCTGTCAGCCCGTCAGACGGCTGCCCCTGGAACTAGTCGATATTGTGACTAGTGCGTGGGATTGGAGGCGTTAGATTTGGCCGCGTTGTGTGGTATGATAAGATGTAAAGTCGGAATAGTAGACTCTCGGCTCCACATTACTTGGACCACCACAACATTCTGTATAGTGTATCGCATATTGCAGTAAAGACAGATAGTTGAAAGCAAGCAGTGAAGATCTATCTGCGGGAGATCGGAGTTTTTACATCGAACAGCCCGTTGCAGTAACATGCTTCCTTAACACTGGTACCGGAATAAAGATGACAGGTCACTCCGTCGGCTGTTTCAGAGTGGCTTCTAGACCGTTTTAGTCCCTCGGCCAGCCCGTCTCAAACTCTCGCGGTTTTCCACTGTGGCCAGTCCATCAGAGCTGAGGGGCGACAAAATTAATTGGATTACTAGGCTGTGCCGGCACTCTGTTTTTGAAGGATTACTCAATGTTAATGGCAAATCCGTTCCTGAGACTTGAACTTTTTTTGAGAGTTTAACTTTTTGCATGCTTCCACTGCCACCACAGGATAACTTCAAACCCCTGGGCGAAGGAAAATAGAGAGAAAAGAATAATCTTGCTACATGGGCTCAGAATAACTGATATTTGAATGAAATTGAAGGTACTTATAATGGCATTTTAAGGAATCTTGGATGAACATCATGCACTTCGGAATATATGAAATCTGAGTACAGATACCCACCTCTAGTGGTACTTCTCCGATGGGTATAGCACCATAGTATTCTATAGACATCTTTCATCACATATTCAAATGGAAGTGAACCATCATTCGACTAATGACAGAGTTCGCGATCTTCATATTATACTCAAGGGAGATGAAAATAAAGAAAGGATGCCTTTCTTGGCTGTTCACGACTCAGAGGTTTCGCAGACCATGAATTTGTGATTTTCAAGCTAGACCATATTAGACATTATAAAGAAACATCGAGTATATGAAGGCCAACGCCTCTTGCGTGGAGTGTTACACCATTCCTTCTGGTTGTTCAAGGTTAGAAAGAGGTGCGCTCAAGAGCTACCGAGCTAGCCAGTTCAATTTGAGAGGACTTTGCATCAGCCTTTTTGCAATGCGATACACCTCCTGTTTGCTGTTTATCACGGGCCCTCATCACAGCTGGCAAACCCCAGTTCAGCATCTAGTCTGAGCTCAGTACATCCGTTGCTGTTGCTCGCTTCTCAGGTTTCATTGCCAGCATTGAGCGAAGCATGCTTAGAATGGCCACCTGCTCCTCTTTATTGAAAGAAGACATATTGTCCCTCTGTCGTGCGGCCTGTATGTACTTCTCGAAATTTTGCTCAAGAGATGGGTAGACAAACCGATCTTTCTTAGGCCTTCCGATCTCTTCAAAATACTCATGACGCTTCCCCCATGTATTCCACCATTCAAGCGGAATATCTCCAATGATATCTACTTGTTGAGAGGCTATGTTATGTCGAGTGGCGAGTGTTGCATCAAGCAGCCACCGCAGGCCAAATATGGAATACATAGCACATGCAAGACTCCAGATATCCGAGGGAAATGAAAGAGGCTTGTCCGGTTCAAAGTAGGCTTCAGGCGGTATGACTGGAAGCGGCGAGGGACAGTCCTGCCCACGTCGCCGCTGCTCTGGGTCGGAAGGGGAGAAGCTCTCGCCAAAGTCACTAAGAAGGAGCTGGGCCTCATCCGGCGGAATTTCGAATGGCTCGTTTTCCTAACCAGACCGGCATTGTTACACACGTAGGGACGCCAGGAGGGAGAGGCTGTCCGTCCAGTCGCACAACTGGTTCCGAATATGGCTCACCGAACCGCTCATAGAATTCCTGGACTGAGAGCTTGTCAAGGCTAGTAGGTAGGTGTATCAGGATGTTTCCAGGATGAATATCTGTAGTCGATTTAGCGGTACTTTTATGGCATTGCCCTTCTCTCATATACACGAAAGCATTCAGGGTGAGTATCTCCTCACTTACCTCCATAAACATAGTCTTGAGCATGAACAAATGCAACAGCAAGAGCAAGTTCGGCAGCTAAAACACGAGCCGTTTCTATTTGAAAGTAGCAACAGAATGATGCCCCACATACACTGCTCTGAGCGGGTGCTGTGACAATGCATTGATGATGCCTATTCGGGCCCTCAATTTCGAACTCGTCCAGGATGACGGGAATCAAGGGACGCTCGTTTGTATGTGCCGGCCAGCGGTTCATGAGCATACGCAATATCTTTGCTTCATGAGCGGAGGAATCTCCAGTGCTTACTTTGACCGCCACGTAGGCTGCCTTTTGCTCGTCTCGTGACAGCCAAATTGTAGAAAAGGGCCCATGGCCCAGTTTGTGAATCGGTACCGGCTCTTCAGCACATCTCCCACGCATATTGGATGATACCCCCCTATTCTGTACCTCTCTATCATTTCCACTTCCTCAATAAGTTGATACTGAAAGGCGTGGGTGTCATTGGTCGTAGAAGTCATGGCGGTTCGGATGGTCACATTCAGGCGTCGAGGCGACTATAGATACCCACGGAAAACAGAGCGACTGGAGGAAAAAGTAGCTTCACAGCAAGAATAATACAAGCCACTCATTAAGTGACCAGGCCTTCTCATAATGAATAAGCCGGATGTAGATGTTGTCGAGCCCGGTTGTTCGTGAAGTTCAGAACTTCGTTCGTGATGACGTCCGAGATGAAGCACAATGCTGTCACTGTCAAGGGTCATGTGTGTATGAAGGGTATTTCCTATCAGATCTATGAGCATGTACCGTATATATGTGTTAGAACTGGAGCTTGCGGCTTGACTTTGATCTATAGCCTTGTGGTATATCTTACGGCAGATCCCGCAACAGATCAAAAGGCCTAGGGATTTAGAGCTGGCTTAGGAGGAGTCATGGAGATAGTCAACGCTATGGCTCCGTTTGTGATGTGGCATTTGAAAGCAGCAGAAATGTAGTGAAGTATCTCAGTGAAACACACAGTGCTGAAGCTACATGTGTTGTCATCATTTACTGAGTTTGTTTGGGAGCACAGGCTCATTGCCAGCCCATTAACACCCAGACCGAACACCCCCTCAGACCACATGTGACGCTTTGCTACAAGGACGAAAATCAACTGACTAAAGAAACTCATGTTGCTTTTCATGGCTACGTGGAAGGGCCAAACAGGTTAATATTCGTTAGATCCAAGCATGCTGGAGCAAAAGCGATCACTTGGGTGAAGAGTAGTGGAGATATTGTCTACGAAGCCCCTGAGATTGGCTATGGACACTTTCCGGAACCAGCAGATACAGATTGCACAGGCGTTAATACTGAAATTCGGGGTTTTGGCGAGAAGAAAGAAAAGCTTCTATGGAATACAGTGATCTATGAGAGCTAGATATGTGACATCACAAACGATCTTGAGCAAATACGCATACCGGCAGCCTTGTCAGAGTGAAAATTCTGCACATCTGCTGGGGCTACCTTCATGAACTGGATGAAAGAATTAGAGGGATAGGAAACATTGGGACACCCAGACTCTTATCGGAAATCATTGATGCTGGGTACAAGAATCTGTGAAACTTATGCTTCCCCTTTCCATACTGATAATGATCCGAATCTCGTGTTTACCGTGCAAAGGCTTCTAGATTATGAAGCTCATTCTAATGTTGCTGTACTCAATGAGACCGCGCAGGGTCGGCTGCAGTCAATGGACTTTCACTGTATTACCCCTGACGGGAACTTCTACTACTAGAATCCGTCGAAGAGTGGCTGTTAACGCAACCTTATAAAAAGCCTAGCGTTATCCGATGGACTGACCAAGTAGGAAGTGTATCTAAAATTGATCCTGTTTTCCGGGTAGCTTCAGTTAGCTTAGTGCAGTCACAGAGTATATCTCATAAAAAATGCAGAATGTCCGCATTGAGCAGCTATAAGATCATCGTAACGGCATCTTAGGACGCACGCTGACGAACATTTTAAACGTGCTCAGACCTGGGCCATATGGCTCGCCTTTTTGATTGCCTCCTCTTTTCCCTGGTTAAATAACCAGTTACTTTATCCCATGCAGTTTAGTGTCCAATGGGTCCCATTATGGTAGTAGTATCAGCTGGCTTCATCCTCGGTGGTTAGGCCGCTTCAGCTGGGATTCACTGGCGGACGGTAGTGTGCTGACCTAGAAGGTGCCGACCGGTGCCATGCCCTTGACAGCTGATTATATCCTAAAAGGTATACTACTGCCTTTGGAGTTAATTAAATGCGTTTCAACGACACTGCGCGCTCAAATCAGCTCACAGAAGCAACGTTGGGTGGCCAGAAGCTGGATAGGGACGAGCCGTGGGTGAAGAGAACAAGCGGACAACCGACCTTGGGGCGCACGGCCCACAAAAGACCAGTTTCAGGGCTTGTTATCTTGCAATATATTCTCGAAATTGCCAACTGTTCATTGGAATCGGAGGATATGTCAGTCTTTCCCGGGACGGGTTAGGTCTGGCGGCCCGGTCCTGAATGGTCCTCTTGTAGCTCACTGCCTAAAGAAGATGGGAAGTGGACAGGCGACGGGACAATCTTCCAGATGCGCCAATTAACAAGAACACTTCTAATCGTGGCTGGCTGTCCGAGCGTTTTTCCTCCGTCAGACGGGCGGGGAAGAGAAGTTGGACCCGCAACGGCGCCACAGATCGTTCGTACGCTATCTACGAGTTGCAGATGCTCTGCATTAGCGACTCAGGTTGTACCCCTCTGGCACGGCAGACTGATTCAACCAGTCGACGGAGTCTCCGGGGGTGCCCATCATTTATAGCCCTGCTCGATTCTGCTCTCAATTCTGTGTCCTGGGTGCAACTCTGACCTTGAAATCGACCCAAACCACCACTAACCCTACCCCCCGCCACCACCATGTTTGTATACGCATGGCTAGGCATAGCTCTCCTCACTTACCATGCTTTTCGCAGCATATATAGGCTGAGTTTCCATCCACTTCGCACAATTCCGGGCCCGAAGCTAGCAGCTATCACCTACGGTTACGAATTCTACTACAATGTTATCAAGGGCGGCAAGTTCGTGTGGGAAATTGAACGCATGCATAAGATATATGGTATGTTTTACTACTTTGTTCCAGCTACTCCACATCTTTCCCTCATGACCATCTCTTCAATCAGGCCCGATCATTCGCATCAACCCCGATGAAGTCCACATCAACGACCCGGATTACTACGAGGAAATCTATACTTCCCGTGCTCGCCGGCGAGAGAAAGACCCTTTCCAAGTAGCCCAGTTCGATGTCGACGGCGCAGCCTTCTCGAGCATCACACCTGAGATACATCGTCAACGACGCGCCCCTCTCGATAAATTCTTCTCGAAACAAGCCATCTCCAACATCGAGTACTTCATCTACGACAGCCTAGACAAGGTCATCAAAGCCTACAAGGAGGCATACCAGAGTAAAAGTGTAGTGAGCTTGGACGCCGGGTTTGCAGGCTTGACTGCGGACATCATCCACCAGTATGCCTTTGGGTTCAACCCGGGCAACCTAGACGCGGAAGGATTCAACGAAAGCGTACGAGATGCCGCCAACGCGGTCTTGCAGGGGATGCACTTACTCAATTTCTTCCCTTTCATCAAAGTGGTCTTTGGCCTGCTGCCGCACGGGTTGCTGCGCCTGATCAATGAGCCAGCAGTGAAATTGGCAAAAGAGAAAGAGGATTTGTATGCGCGAAGCGCGGCAGCGCTAGAGAGGAACCAGACCCCCGTGAAGGAAGATGAAAAGGTCAGTAATAGCAAAGGTGCAATCCTGGATGCTATTGCTGCGCCTCGTATGCCTGAACATATGCGGACGCCTAAAAGACTCATGGAGGAGGGGCTTTCTCTGGCTATTGCGGGAACAGAAACCACAGCGCGGGCGCTCTCTGTCGGGACCTATCACTTGCTTACAAAAGAGCATGTCCGGCTCAAGTTGAAAGAGGAACTGAAGACCGTTATGCCTACACCTGATATGCGGGTTAGTCGCACGGAGCTGGAGAAGTTGCCTTATCTGGTGAGTAACATATTCATTTTCGAGTTCCATTATCAACACTAGATACTAAGCTTTGCGACATGTAGTCTGGTGTCATCAACGAATCCATGCGTCTTGCAACAGGTGTATCGTCCAGGATGACCAGAATAGCTCCCACAGAGGCACTGGTTTATAAGGAACATGTCATTCCCCCTGGTGTACGCATCGTCTTTCCCAATACTGTTGACGTCAGTCTACTAATACCTCCACGCCAACAGAGTCTATTTAGCTCATCCAACGTCTTCATCCTCATGAACCCCAACATCTTCCCCAATCCCCACGACTTCGATCCGGAACGCTGGATTCGAGCTGCCGAAAAGGGGGAGCGATTAGACCGGTACCTGGTGAACTTTTCCAAGGGTGCTCGGATTTGCCTTGGCATGCAGTAAGTTAACATGCCTACAGATGAGCGGATCAAATGGTTACTAATTCAATATATAGACTCGCTATTGCCGAGCTTTTCATTGTTATCGCTTCTCTTATGCGCCATTTTGATATGGAGCTTGTCGACACTCCCAAGGAGACCATTGAATTCGCCCGAGACTTTGGGGCGCCGTATCCTGAGAAGGGGAATTTGTTCATCAAAGCGAGAATTACGGGGTTGGCTCAGGAGTAGATAGGCCCGATTAAGTTTAAGCAAAGTGCTCACTCAGCTCTTGGAGATTAAGTATCTCCTATCAGATAGTCGAGGAAGATAAAGGGGGTATGTAGTTGTCATGGTGGATGTGATAGTTATGTCAGCTCTTGTTCATACAAACGTAACAAGATATATACTACTTTTATCATCAGCACATCCACAGCATGTGAATATCTCTGAATGTAAACCTTTGCTCGCTGGTTGATATCAATGTAAAGTACCGCCAGCGCTACTAAGATACAGTCACACAGGACAAAGTATCTTCAGTTACATCAGTCACGATCTGGTACATGGCATTCCAATGCAATACACAAGAGATAGTATTTTGTTTAGCAGAATTTCTGGTTGTTGTTGAGGGTGGTACACAGCTCTGCAAAGGGATCGTTGTCGGCTGAACATGGTAGGACGCGTTAGTTGGGATGCATTGCCTGCTAAGTGGAATCTTCGTAGCAGCACTACTGGGAGTTCCCTGCAGTTATTTAATATATACAGCTATCAGGCCAAAGAAGTTTCAGATAATACAACCCTGAAGTGAATGTTCTAACTATGTGTGCGCAGTTGTACATGGCTTTTATGTTCATCGTCGGCCGAACAGGAGACAGTCATAGAATCAATAAAGCAAGGGGTTAGTAGATCTGAGATATTAGGGATTTGACTTTTCGGTTATGCCGGAGTATCTTAAAGGAAACGATGGACTCCGAAAATTTGGTGTTTAGAGGGGTCTACGGGCAGGAGGAAAACACCGCCTGAACGGAACACTCGAAACGCGCGCCTGACCACCATGCTCCTGCCACTGATTTGCATGTAATACTCATAATTCATTGACAAATAAAGCAATCATTAATGTATTATATAAATTCATATATAGAATGATGTCGAGGCACTAACCGCTAGACCAAAAATGATATATCGCACTAGTCAGCCAGGCGACAGAGAGATATCTGTCCCAACAAATAACACTATTGAAATAATATCAATTATTGGAATATTGTGGTTAGGATCGCGCGCGTGTTTCGGATGTCCTGTTCGGGTGGTGTTTTCCGCCTGCCCGTAGACCCCTCTAGTATGCATAGTTCGCGGATCTCTCATGATTATTGGAAAAGTGATAAATCAGACACTCGGACAGTGTTACACATATGCACATGTAGATTCCGTTGGTACACATCTGTACTCCCCGCCACTTCTTGAATCCTATTCATTGCACTGATCAACCTTCGTGACGATTTTGTTGACCTGTGCATCATGTCGTGTGCTCTCCACTTTCTAGCGTGCCATCTAACCCTATAAGAGGGGGTCCATAACCTTGTCATGAGATATTGACGGCTACAGTTCGTTTGAGACACCTATACCAATCAACCCACCTCCTTCTTGAAGCTCCGTATTCTCCCTTATATTCTACGTTCTTACACCCTCTCGACAGCTAAAAACCATGAGCGTGCACCAGAACGACCATGTGATTGACAGTGACGAGGTCGACCGCATCGCCATTGCCCCAAATGCCCCCGACCTGGTATCACGTCTGATCTCAAAGATCAACACACATGGTCAGGCCTTTATGTTGGGGCAGTCTAGCGTGCGAGCTCAATTGGCAGACGCTGCGGAGTCGCTGTTGGCCGCACTCGAAACTCCACGAGAAACGATCCACCGGCAGTGCTTTCGGAACGTAAGTTCTTCTAGGTACTATCCGTGAAGTTTAGAGGGGAGAGAAACAATTATTCACTATCTTAGTAGCCCAGTGGATGGGCTGCCATTAATATTGCCATGGACCTGGGCATATTTCGCCTGCTAGCTGAGACCAAGCGGCCCAAGTCGATCCCAGAACTGGCCAGTGCTACCGGAGCGGACCCTGTCCTGCTGGGTGAGTGGACTTAGCTTCTAGCTTCTTTTTTAATTAAAAGTGACTCCCCTACAGGGCGTATTATGAGGCATCTGGGGGCTATCCACGCCGTCGTTGAAACAAAACGCGGCAAATATACTACTAATGGGTTTTCCTTCACACTCGCCCACAGGAAATATTCTGACTCTATCCTCGCAGCGTTGGTCCTCTTCGATTTCATGATACTGTACTATTGCATACTAATATAAATAGCGCGGGCTCCATGTACCCTTCGATCAATGGTATACCTGAGTTTCTTCGCCAAACTGGATACCAAAATCCCTCCGACGGCCGTCACTGTCCCCTTCAAATGGTCTATCGCACGACCGACTCGCTTTTTGAGTATCTAGCTCATAACCCAGTCATTGGCGCGCAATTCAACACTCTCATGGAAGTCTACCATCAGGGTCGTGCCAGCTGGATGGACCCAGGCTTCTACCCGGTCGATCAACTCATGTCTCCATCCCCGATAGGTGAGCATGACGTGCTTCTGGTCGACGTTGGCGGTGGAAGAGGCCACGACATCAGCGAGTTGCGCGCCAAGTGGCCGAACCTTCCCGGGAAGTTGATTCTTCAGGATCAGCCTGCAGTCCTGGCTGAGGCTACCAATCTACATCCGTCTATCGAACCCATGAGCCATGATTTTTTCACCGAGCAGCCAATCAAGGGTATGTCTCACCTTGTTTCATTCGCTTATTGTATCTTATCGACCTCTTTATCTTTATTTCTCTTATTTCCCTCTTTCCCTGTTCTGCCATCTCGTATGGCTGACCGAAGCTGACTGGGGCTGACTGGGGCTGACTGCGGATATCCAGGAGCTCGCGCCTACTTCCTCCACTCCATCCTCCACGATTGGCCGGACAAAGACTGCCATCAAATCCTCGAACCCCTCAGAGCCGCCATGATCCCACGGGTCAGTCGGCTCCTCATCAATGATTATGTTATGCCTGAACAGGGTGCGCACTGGCAGGCAACATCGCAGGACATCAACATGATGTCGATCTTGGGGAGCTTAGAGCGGACTGAATCACAGTGGCGGCAGTTGTTGACCGAGGCGGGTTTCCGCGTTGTTAATGTATGGACTGTTGATTGGTGGTCGGAGAGTTTGATTGAGTGTGAAGTGGTGGCTTCTTCGGCGAGTGAGACTGTCAGAGACAGACTTTAGAAAATCTTCGTTCATTTTATTAGTTTGTTGGTGGTCTCATCGCACTGTTTCATCGGGCCTTGCTGTGTGTTTGTGGTGATATTATCACAAGCCTAATCAATTCTCTAGCTATCAACTTCGACAAGATTATGGGTTTTGAGGTAGGCAAAGAAGTTATCTTGAGGATCATCCGAAGCAAGGCGGTCCATGTTAGTAAGGGATAAGGGAATGATGACATCGTGAGCAGCTGTAGTCGGCCATTGTTGGAAAGATTAGTATAGTCAATGCCGATCCTTACCAAGATCATAATCGAGCGATCTTGTCAGGATCAGTGGGTATGTCGCTGAGATCAGTAGATCTGTGGGCTGCTTGAAGGAACTCTAGTACTCTGTATATAACCTGCTTTGAACGACGGGCCTTTTTCATCACTTACTCTCACATATGGAGCTGTTTGGGCAATTTAGTGGCCAACCTGTCGGTCTAAATACCATCCAGTGACTAGGGGCTCAGAGTTATCGGCTGTCACAAATACGTTTTTTTTCAATCAAGGGCAGCCTTCAGCATAGTATCAAAGTAGACAAGTTTTATCCGACACGCGGAACAAGGTCTTGTAGTAGCCTAATAGATAAATCTCATGAAGACTAGTATAGATCGTATAATAATGGTATTCAATCATCAAAGTGTCAATCAGATCTTGTAATGGACTCCTGTATAATGTCTTGCAGCGTAAAAGTCAGTCATAGCGCAAGGGAACTCGGCATAACGGATATAGCGAATTGGCCCTAAGTACCTGACTGATTATAAAGTTCAGCAAATTTACAGGTAAGCTAAACCATCTTATCCCACTTAATACAGAGTAGCCCACGAAGGATCTGAAAAGCTCCTAAAATCAGAGATCAGAAGCGAGTAACATCTTAAGAAGAGGCGGAAATCGTCTGACCCCCTGGGACTAAAATCTGACACTTGCGGGATCCTACTCCACCACGCGTCTTCTGCCTCCCGAATCCCGAGCCGCACTGTCCCATAAACCCACCCGTTTACTTATTGCCCCCAATCGCCAGAGTTGCTGCCTACCGTTGGGAGGTTTCTGCCTACAGCTGGGAGGGTTACCCCTGCTTACCAGTGGCACAGACTTCATTCCACGCAGAACCCAGCAAAATGGCACTGCCCCGGAAAGACCAGGTTCTCTCGTCCCGAGAAATCGAGGGCTTGATTGCTGCCGGACAATCCATTGTCATTGTCAATCAGAAAGTGCTACGTGTCGATTCATGGATCCCATACCATCCCGGGGGTCACAAAACCATCCAACACATGGTCGGCAAGGACGCCACCGATGAATTCACCGTGTATGCACACGATCAATGATGTAGGGATGTAGCTCAAACTAACTTGTGGGGCAGATTCCACTCAGAGGAGACCATCAAGATGGCCGATCGGTACCAGATCGGCCGGGTAGAGGGACGATGGCGGAATTTTGTGCCTCCCATCCAGGGTGGACAGTTCAGACCGTATCTGGACGACAAGGCACCTTCAGACACCAAGCAAAATGCTCCTACTACTTCTGCCACGGACCAAAGTGAGCCAACTGACAATGGAGATGGCCGCCTCAGTCCAATTCGTCAAGCAGCGACCGAGCTCAACACCAAAGAAGCAATGACCTTCCTAGACAGCCAGACCAAGGAAGAAATCAGCCTCACCCTAACCCGCTACCCATCCCTCGACGAAGCGACCCAAGGCGACATCATCAAAAAGTACCAACATCTCCATGACCAGATTCAAGCCGAAGGCCTCTACAACTGCAACTACATGGCCTACGCGAAAGAATTCGCACGCTGCTCACTAATCTTCACCACCATGCTCCTCTTCCTCCATTATGGCTGGTACTGCACCAGCGCCATCTTCCTCGGCTTCTTCTGGTCCCAACTCGTCTTCTCCGCCCACGACGCTGCTCACATTGCCATCACCCACAACTTCACCATCGACAGCCTAATTGGCATGATTATCGCCGCCCCCATCGGCGGCCTCTCCCTAGGCTGGTGGAAACGCACCCACAACGTCCACCACATCGTAACCAACGCCCCCGAACACGACCCAGACAACCAACATCTCCCCTTCTTCGCCGTCAACCACCGCTTCCTGGGAAACCTCTTCTCCAGCTATCACGAGCGCCTCATGCCCTACACAAGAGCAGCCAGCCGTCTCGTCCCCTACCAAGCTTACCTCTACTACCCCGTCCTCATGTTCGGCCGCTTCAACCTCTACGTCCAATCCTGGATCTTCCTCATCCAGGGCCAAGGTCCCCGTAAAGGCCCAGCCTGGTGGCACCGCCACTTCGAAATCGTCGGCAACCTTCTCTTCTGGCTCTGGTTCGGCTACGGCCTCGTATACCGCTCCATCCCGACAGCCTGGGACCGGTTCCTCTTCGTCATGATAAGCCACATGGTCACCATGCCACTGCACGTGCAATTCACCCTCTCCCATTTTGCCATGTCAACGATGGACCTCGGGCCCAGTGAATCTTTCGCCCAGCGCATGCTCCGCACAACCATGGACATCGACTGTCCCGAGTGGTTGGATTTCATCCATGGCGGGTTGCAGTTCCAGGCCATTCATCATCTGTTCCCTCGGGTACCAAGACATAATCTGCGGAGGACGCAGAAGCTCGTGCTGGAGTTCTGTCGGGACGTGGGCATCCCGTATGCGCTGTATGGGTTCGTAGATGGGAATCAGAAGGTTGTGGGCAGTTTGGCGGAGGTTAGCCGTCAGGCTGCAATCTTGGCAAAGTGCCAGAGGACGATAGCGGAACGGGGGGATTTGTTGTATGGGAGGTGAGGTGAGGTGTGCGTGGACGGACTGTCTAGGGGGTGGAGATTGTAGAATAGAATTCGGTTGTATGTCACAGTTTACCCGAGCAGAATAGAACATGGATTGTTGTTTACGGTGAAAAATCTGAGGCTACCAGGTGCACTATACAAGGATTCCGCTCCCTCGCTCGGCCCTAACGCCGAGTCCGAGGGGGGTCCAGATCACGCGGGTGTCGCGTCTAGGGGCCTGGTTCCGAAGGGACAAAATCAGGCAGACTTCATGCGAGTGGACATTGTGAAACTCATCACGCAAGACTGTTCTGCACTAGGGATGGAGGAAGAAATTGATCGGGGAAAAAGAAAGGAAAACGATCCACTTCAAAAGTGAGGTCCGAGCAAAGATACTGAAAGATACTCGTGGAAGCCCAGGAAAGGTGCAGGGAAGACAATGGAAAAAGGAATGAGAGCAAACAAACAGGTGGCTGGTTAGGCGCTTGCTGGTCATTAAAAGTCCCATAGGTGATTGGAGTCTAAAGCTTAGGGTAAACCTTCCTCTGTTGATCACTTGAACAACATATGCACGACACATCGGACACCCGAATAGGTAATACTATTATACGCCGGTGTTACAGTGTTGGGGAGGGGGGAGATGTGACTCACGATAGAAGGGATAGCTGTTCGGCAGATCCTGCCAACTTCATCTTGGGAAAGGATGTGAAGGATGGGAAAAGTTGGGAAGGCTATTGAGCCGAGGAGACCCGGGGGAAATTCGGAATCAATGAGACCTTGGAGGAATTGGGAAGCCGAACAGACTTAGGTGAGGACTCAACTTGACTAGGTGAGGTGAGGTACGCAATAGACAGGAACTACTCCGTACGGACTACTCCCTTTAGCACCGGGCAGTTTCAGTCAGGCAATAGATTAAAGTTTAATCTATTGCATGCGTTGGGCCAATCGCAATCGAGCCCCCCTGGTTCTGTTGGGTTCTCGAACGAGGCCAAAACAAACAATTGATACGTACTTTTGGTCCTTTACCAGGTACTTTTTCCTCGAATTGTTTGCTTTTTCTTTCCCTATTTTGCTTATTTCTTCCGCTATTCCGGCCGCAAACACCCACCCCTTTTCATTATTTCCTTTTCCTATTTGTTCTTCTCGGGATACCACTGGCCACTGGTTACAAATCTGAAGAGTAACAGCTCGAGATTCTGCAATAATTGTGCAACAGGATCCTTTCTGATGATCTGGCATGAGGGCCCGCTCTTCGCTTCCTCATTAAAGCCTCCTGCAGCTTGCACAGGTGATCAGCTGTTCGTTCATTTTATCATGCATAAGTCCGGAGCAGCCACAGAGATAGTTGTACGTAAGTAGTGTAGACGGACTGACTCGCTGGACGGTATCTGCTATCTGCTATCTCTCTACCTTATGATAGTACTGATATCTGAATACATAAATGGTGTGATACGGACACATATTACCCTATGACCTTATATGATTTTGGCATTTGACACTCTGGATTTTGTTGAAATGTACGCTTTCTCTGCAGGCACGGCTACAACAGCTAGCGAGTCAGCTACTCAAGCTTGAGTCAACGGCTAGCAGGATACATCAAGCATGGGTAGCGTCTCCCATAGTGACGGTTCCTCAACAATTTTCCTAGCCGCCAGCCTTGCGGGTGATGGGCACGGCGTTGGCGCCGACGCCACCCAATAACCCCGTCCCCACCACACCCTACTTTACCTATCTCATTAGCTTAACAAAGTACATTAGTACTTTTGCAAAAGGACAGACATATGTTGAAAGGCTAGATTTGAAATGCAAGAGGGCATTCTGGCCTATCCTGGTGGATACGCGTCTAAGGTGCTGTAAGGATCTACGTAGCTTCCTGGGATGGGCATAGAGGAAGCCGCTAATAACAGAGATCCGACCTGAACAGAAGTTGTGGAAAATTGCGAAAACGCATCAAGACTCTTCTATAATAACATATTTATCACACAGAGTACTACTTCTACGCAAAATTAGGGCGTTACCCCCTTTCTCGAATGGAAGGACTTAAATAAAGACGAAACAAACTATACCATTGAGAGGAGGCAAGTATCTCCGCCATGTTGTCAAAAACCCCGAGTTTTTTTTTGGTATGGTATGTATACGAATCGATGAGCTTGAGCGGCTTACAACAATTGACCGTCAAAGTTGACTCTCGCTCGACTCTGTTGATGTCATTTCCGGCTGCGCTTTGGGCACGAGGCAAGGTGGAACTAGGCCAGCGGAGCGGTGGGCCGCCTGGAGGCAAGGCCCGTACCTGAGCTAGTTCATTTTGACTGTAGAGTACATTGTTCCGGGTTCGACGTGTCACTTGAGATGCATGAGAAAAAGAAAATAAAGGAATCCGTGGCCCATTAATCGGGTTGATATACCGACCGTTCGCTTACCGTATGCCTATCAAGCCTTCTGGACCGTATATCGGATGCGAACTACACAAGACAGGAAGTCCTAGCTGTACTCCGCGGCTGTGATTCTATCCACCTGACTAGAAATCTCTTCCTCATAGCCTCTTTGAAAGTTATATAAAGGGCCATCGTCCAGCATTGACGACTACCTACCATCATGAAGATCACCCATCGTCTCATGGTGAGTTCTCTCTGATTTCGGGCTTTTCTCTCTCTTTTTGTCCGCACCTTGCCAAGCCGGTCTTTGGTATCAAGCGAAGAGCCTGGACGCTTTGCAATCATGCTTTTAATTCTCATCATCATCGCCGATGGAATCAGAAGAAGGCATCCACGGGTTATTCTTGATCGGCTTTACAGGGGTATATTTTCTTTCCCGGCTGTTAAGCAATTAGAGGAGGTTGACATGATGTGAGGACTTGGCCGCGTACGTCGAAATGACTATCCTGTAATCATGGATAGAGATGTTGAAGAGTAGATTTACATGACACGTGGGTGAACCCGACCGATATAATGTAGGTAAATGTTATGCTGATACCACAGTTCCTCAGTTTTACATCGGTACCGCCACTGTCTGGATTGGTCTTGAAGGGGCTCCTATTCTGCCGCCAACTTGGCCAGATATAGTACGTGCGCGGAAGCGATGTATGATCATTCCTTGAACGAAAGAGTTGTTGTAGATTTTCGAGAAGATGTCATCTCAGCTCAACAAAGCATATGTATAATAGTATTCATCTGTGGTTATGCAAAAGATTGTATGATATATGTAATACAGATTCAGTGAGTAGATGGGGTACTTACAGACGGTCACTTATGGGATTCATGATACGCTGAAATCAGGACTGGATACATGCCCAACTTTGATCCTCAATCTCTTACTCATTCACACTCTTTGGAGAGCACTTACCCATTATGATCCGAACAGGTGGTGTAGACCTGTCTTGAATTCGGCGCTAATTGATTCTAGCACGGCACCGGCTCTCTCAACAGAAAGCACTAGCATACAGTACTAATGCACAGCTCTGATTAGTTACGCACAGCACCGGTTTTCGGCACAGCCTCAGATTTCCTCAAGTTTTTTAACCACTCAAATGACAAGGCTCGTGTCAATGAGACCAGTTTCACTCACCGCTGGTTTCCTGGCACCAAAGCCTCATTAACGGTTATCCACTCCATCACAGCTGTCTCCTATTTGTAGTTCTCCTATACGCTCGTAGACAGTAAATGGCCTGCTATGGGATCTACCAGAGTAAGGCTCATCTAATGATACACAATAATATACGACGGCCAGCGGCGATACTATCAGGAGATATATCAGACCTCTAACACTGATTTGGATTATCTGTATTGTTATTACCGACCCATGCTGCTATGACTGTGTGGTTGCTATGGTCTTCATGATAGTATGGGCTTCTGTCTCCTTCATCACCATACTCAACAACTAGTTATATAATTCTTGAGGCTTCAGTGGGGTACCGACTATTAATGAATCGATATTTTTTGACAGTCTTTCAGCTACTATTTGGTTATCATTAGTAACATAGGCTTAGTGCTTAGAATTAGACATTTCTGTTCAAGTCGGACCCCCAAGTACGACACCAGAAAGATACGCATCAATAGCACTGGTCTTAATTTACACTAACAAGCATCAAAATACAAATTAGAATAGAATAAAATAAGAAGCATGACAATAAAAGTCAAAAAGCAAAATACATACAACAGAAGGGATTCGCTGGTGGTCACCCACCCAACTACTAACCTCCCGGCGTGTGGCTTGAGTACGGCTGAGCGGACGGGAAGCCCTATTTTCCACACCCTGTGGTCGTATGTACTGGAAATAACATCTTCTTAACCTATCAGTATCACTGAAATTAACAGCTGGGGACTGAAGGAGAATAGAAAATTTATCAGTTGTGTTGAGAGAAGAGACAAGAGAAAGAAGGGGTTCATCGCCACCAACGATGTTCACGGCCATAGACTGTCAATAACGGAAGGCGTGTAATAGAAGGAAGGAACGCCATTCTCGTATACTTCTACTCCGTCACTGTATTTGCACCCGCCGCTTGCGGCTTCCATGTCCATCGACTGCCATCTGATGCCTTTCATGCGTTCTATATCGCGGTATGGCGCCGTCCGCTTCTTCTCTTCGCGCAACCTTTTCACCGACTGAATCTCCAACGGGTTCACCATCCGTAATCATTGTTCCGTTGCTCCTTGGCTGTCCATTATACCCCTGTAGGACCTGTTCCTGGACATCTGGGACCAGTGACTTCTACCAACACGGGAATGGAATCTTCTCTTATCCTCTCTCCAAAATATAAGTGAAGCGTCATCTCTCAGACTGAAAAACACACTTTATTCTGAGGCAGAGGGGAAAGGGAAGCGGGCGTAGGGGAATAGATGGGGTTAAAGGTACGAGCGCTATCCATAAAGAGAACAATGCGTGTATGCGGGATTAGCTAGTGATCACCCATCCAACTATATCCGACTGGCGTGTGGCCTATATGTGTAGATTAGGCTGTCAGAAAAACAAAACTAGTACTTATATATAACCATCAGGTCTTTATTAGAGCGACCTTGCCGAGTGCCCGACCCCGTAATTAAGAGTTCTGCTGAGAGCGACCCTAAATCAGCCCAATTTGGGAGACGACCTCTTGGAACTTGAGTATTAAACCAAGCTTCTATTATAACCTCCATAATACATGATGCCCAATACACCAACCAGAATAATATCAATATATAACAGGGCTAATGAGATAACATACATCATTATCCTTCCTCCTTCGGTATTTTATGTCTCGTCAGCACAGCCTCCGAGTTGGAACCCAAGTTTCTAAGAAGGCCTTCATACAAGCAGCGGCAGTGCCGGCAGCATAGAGTTGCCAAGCCTTAGTCTTATGCGAGTCTGCATAGTCGCTCACACCCTTGATAATCACATGTGGTATGTTGTCGGAGATACCTGCACCCTCCATCTCAAATGCAATAATCCCATCTCTTGTTGCGATAGAGTCGCGGCGCATTCCACTTCTCATCGATGTATCGCCAGATGCAATGGCACCAAAGTGGACATGAGGTTTGGGACTGGGTTGTTCCAGTCGCCGACGTGAGACAACAATGTTGGACTCTGGTTTATATAACACATCCTGTTCAGCGCCAGGATAATGATAGTCTTCCTTAAACTGAGGGTGACTTTGAAGAAAGCGAAGATGAGCACACATAGCATGATGAAGTGACGCAAGACCGCGGCGACTTTCCAATTTCGCCAGGTGTGCACGTATCTCAGGACTAGGTCTGCCAAACGCTTCGAGAAGGGTGTTCCTGCGGACAAACTGGTCTGGGTACTGTCTCCCAAAGTCGTACTGGATGACGCCATCACCGATGATCACATCGCCCAGTATAGTCTCCTGATCAGTATTAGTGAACGGAAGAGCCCCGCAGACGCCTACTACGAGGGCTAGTTTCAGGTTTGGAAAGCTCACTCGGCAGTGAGCGGCAACAGCTGCGGCTGTTGCTTTTCCCATACCAGGCATGTGCACGAGCACGACGTTGTGCCGGCCAATCGCACCGCATGAATATGCGTTAGGGTCACAGGGGTGTTTGCCATATGCGGGCCCATTGTCATCCCAGTAATGGTCAAAGAGGGCATGGACTGCGTCTTGCTCGACTGTCAGAGCACAGATGATAGCAATTTCGAAGTCACTCCGTGAGGTGGGACGTGGAGGTGACAAACTGCCTAACGTAGCAGCTTCATGGCCGAGCTCAAATTGATCTAAACCTCCATGAGCTGGATATTGCCGCGCTTCTGTCATCTGCGATTCTAACTGGGTTCTCGGAGCTGACATCGTATCGAAGTCTGGGATAGCGCGGGAATGACGACCAGGGGCGAACTGAATGTTTTCAAGAAACCTATTCGGCGAATATCCTGCCTGTGCCAAGCCAGTATGATGAATAGCATTGTTTCGGTATCGTATGAAATCGTCTGTGAGGTTCTCCTGCCATCTATGGAGAGAATATGTAAGCAGAATATTCGTATATAGCAATCGCTTTCGCAAGAGACTCCTGGAACTTCAAAGAGACATACTGCTGGTGCCTTCTGGTATGTTCATTGGTGATTCGAAGGGGAGCCTGACTTTGATCCCTAATGGCTGGGCGATGAAACTCACGATCGCCTATATTGTGCCAGTGGATTGGTTGTTTGGGTAGTTGGGTAGACGGAGGCAGCGGAGAAGATTGGCCAGTGTGCCAAAGAGCAGCTGCCGTGTTGTTTGGCACGTAGCTGAGACCAGCATTTGAGATGTAGTACTGCCTGCCAGTCAGTGTGCCATGGGCACCCGCTGCCGGAGAAGGGACATCCAAGATGGTGTTTTCCCTGGCATTTGCTGTACGGTAGGGTGGTGCAACACAGTTATGCATCAGCTGTGCTGATATGGATTCGGGTAGCAGAACTCCATTCTGGTCTCTATGAAGATTCGGCGGTATGTTGACGAATGGCTGTTCCCGGCGCTCAAGTAGTGTAATGGGAGGGTTCCCGTGGTAATAGGCGTAATAATTGTCTTGTACAAGGTTGGTCGTGGGCCATGGCATGGTGAAAGAGCTACCACGGAAACAAGAAAGTTTCAAAGTGAAAGGGGGAAGAGCAATCTAGAAAAGAGTCAGGAATGGGAACCGTATGTGTCTGTCGGCCAGATGTATACATGGCTTGGGTGGGTGAGATTTATTATATGTTCTCGATACATGGTGAGCCCAAGGGCCGTCTACGCACAGATGGGTTTGATGTGTGTAGAAGGTCAAGGGGCTTAAAATTCGGATGAAAGTGAAGATTTGGGAATGGACAAATCAGCACATCGATTGAAGACCCCATAAAAGTGCGGTGATGTGTTCAATCGTATCGTTGACTGTATCATCTCCTAACTCGCTGGCGTATATACAGTTCTAGGCCATCTAACTGCCTCCATAATGTGCGACGATCTAATGTACCGAGCACGTAGTTGCTGCTGATCTCCAGGGCCCCGGCGTTAGTCTCTATGAGAACTGGGGAACCAACCAATTAAGGCTACAATTTGATGGATGAGGACTTTGGAAGCAACCAATGAGACTTATCAGACCCCTGTCGAGAGATATGAGTGAGAACTTCGAAACCGGCCAATAAGACTTATCGAAGAGCAGAAATGAGAATTTTGGAAGCAGCCAATGAGAGCTCTTACAGGATAAATGAGAACCCTTGAACCAGCCAATGAGATCTTCTACGAACCTGCGCCACAGCTGCTGGCATGCCCTGGTGCGTTGGTTAGATTTGAAGTTGCCTGACGCACGACAAGGCTGAGAAAGCTGTGAAAAAGCAAAGTTTGGGACCTTTGAATTTGGCTCTTAAAGCCTGCATGCCCCCGCGGGACCTAATCATCAACCTTCCCTCAACCTTGGTAAATGTGTCAATAAACATGGCCAACCAGAAATGGGACCTATACAAGGGCGAGATCGAACGACTATATATTCACGAGGACCAAAAGCTGGAAGACGTGATGAGCTTTATGGAAACTCAGCACTTGTGGAAAAAGAGGCAAGCACGCTCGATTAAGCTTCCTAACATCGCAGCTGATTAGAAAAAACAGCAAGGCGTCATACACTAGACAACTCAACAAATGGGGGTTTAGAAAACACTCCGAGTCCAGAAACGATGAATGGATCCTGAAACGAGTGGCCAAACGGAAGCGAAACGGAAAGGAGAGTGAGGTCTTCATAGATGGAATTCAGCTCCATCCGAAGAAGATCGCCAAGGCAAAATACGGAAAGGGCTTCGTGTCAACCATATCGCAATATGGTAAGTTGAATATCTGATCCCATCTAAGCATGGTATTGACCAATATCTAGCCCCTTCTCCAAAGACCCCCGAGGGTTATCTCGTAACAACTCCGCAAATGACCGGCATGTGCCTCTCTTGGAGCAGCTCTTTGCCCTGGCTGCGGTTCATGAGCTTCCTTGATTCCCCAACAGAACAAGGTGAGATGTTTTTGACACGCACACGAACTTGACTGCTAATATAATATTTCTCCAGCACCCTCTTTGCCCTCCTCCTCTCTCTTCGTGGACTCATCGCGTTCCAGCAATGTCACCAAAGACACCAATTTTGAGCTAATGAGACGCTTGAACTCGATGGTACCCTGGAATAAACTCAAGCATCTCGGGAACATCTACAGTGGGTCACGTACATCAGCAGCTCTGAGTATTCTCATGCCAGAAACGGAGCAAGGACAACTTGATGGATGGTCAACCAATTTGAGTACCTTGAAATCAGGGCCTAGAGATCATTTGACTGTCGTGTTATACCTCATTTCAAATAACTTAATGTCCCCAGATGAAGATGGGCTCTTTGACGAACAAAAGGAACGTGATTCCAGATTGGTCTTGAGATTGCTCAAAGATAGTGGCTGGGCTGGTCCAGATCAACTCAGAATTTTGCTATCAACCCGTGAGCCCACCGCCGAATCTATCGCAGAAAAAGTGTTTGAAAGTGCACTCTGGATAGGTGACTCGGAGATTGTTGAGAACATGCTCCGGTCTGGCATGAGCCCGGATGGGTTGTTTGAGACATTCACATGAGTGGGAGACATCTACTTCTTGACTCCTTTGCAGTTTGCTGCCCAGGAGGGGAATATTCGCCTCACCAATCTTCTGATCAAGTACGGTGCTGACATTGAACATGGCCTTGCGAATGAGGTGGGTAAAACTGCTCTGTATTTTGCCATTTCAAGCGAAGACTTGGCGGTTGTTCGGGCGCTACTTCTGCAAGGTGCAAAAGTGACAAGAGAGTGTGCCCGTGCAGCGATGAGAACCTGTTACTCTTATCCGCAGGCACTTGATCTGGTTGGGGAGATAATCGACATATACCTTGAGGAGCATCTTGCAGCTGGACGCAATGATCCAGATCTCGTTGTTCCAGCGGTGGAGTCGAAAAAGGCGTGGATTGTTAAACATTTCATTGACAGAGGTGCAAAGCTGAATGGATTAATTGCGCCACCGTACAGTCTTAGACATGAAGGAATGGATATCTGCTTGCTAGGCCTTGCAGTTATGAAGGGGAGTGTTGATATTGTCCGACTTTTGACTTACTCTACTATTGGCGCAAACAGACTTTCCTCGCCGCCCTATATGTATCCACTGACTCTAGCAGCCATGACCGGCGAAACCGATATAGCTCAGATTTTACTAGAGTCAGGAGCTGACGTCAGAGCTGCTGATGAGGGAGAAACTACTTTACTCGAGCATGCCGCTCGGAAGAGCAATCTTAGTCTTTGCCAGATGTTGATCATGCATGGGGCCAAGGTTGACAGAGAGCCATGTGATGCGCAAAAGTCGCCATCAGCTCTCATGACTGCAATTCAGGAAGATAACGTGCTTATCGTTGAGCTTTTGATCAACTCAAACGCACGATTGAATGATCGCTTCGAAGCCGCTCCAGGTAGCGTTCTTGCTGCCGCTCTCGAAGTTGGAAATGATGCGGTGATCGACAAGTTGATACATGCCGGTTCTAGATACGTTGGAGTTAAGATGGAGAAAATCGGGAATTTGCAGACTGCCATCCTAATGAAAGAGAAAGGAGTCTTAGCAGGCGTGCTCTGTTCGTCCGACCATCGGATTCTTGCAGCTGCTATATCAGCGGGACATGAGGACTTAGCACACTTTTTGCTCCAGAACGGCGCCCATAAAGAGCACGACGCCCGGGATCCCTTCTCCACCTTACATTCGATGACCCCTCTAGAGGCCGCCACCGATACAAATAACATGAGACTTATACAGACTCGTCTGGAGCATGGTGTTGCGGTGACAGAGTATGCTCTCACATATGCGATAAAGAGGCATAGTGGACTTCTACCAGTTCTACTAAGAAGATTTTCGGGGAGAGCCCCAACAGCAGTGGCAGCTGCGTTGAGAGAACCTTCAATGGCCGCGTTAAAGTTACTTCGAGAGGCAAACGTGGGCTTTACAGGAGCACCTCGGCCACTTGCAATTGGATCGAGGCTTAACATGTGGTATCAAGTGTGGGAGGATGATGTCAAATCCGTACTTGAAATGGCGGTTGATTGGGACGCCGAACGCTCTCATTTCACATTCCTTCTTGAGTGGGCAGCCGCGGCTGGGATACCGTGGGAGCCAGAGCTTGTGTCTCGTGCTTTGATCAGGACAATACTATCGGACGAACATGACCGGCTGGCTGAGTTGATGCAACTTGACTTTGATCTAAGTTACGATATGTGGCTGGAATTAGAGCGGTGTGGGTTCAATCCTCTGCAAGCTGCCGTCAAATCACAATTGGTGTGGGTCGTTCGTGAGATGCTGATGAAAGGAGCCGATGTCAATCACTTGGGAGACGGTCCTCGCAGACGTACACCATTACAGCTCGCTGTTGAAGATGGAAACATGGAAATATTCAATCTTCTCCTGCATTACGGAGCAGATGTAAATGGTCCCGCTGCTGAGGAATATGGTGCGACCGCTTTGCAGATTGCGGCCATACGTGGATTCATCGGCATTGCTCAGAGACTGCTTGACCTCGGCGCGGATGTCAATGCAAAACCTGCAGTGAAAGACGGGCGCACGGCTTTAATGGGTGCTGCCGAACACGGTCGAATTGATATGTTGCACCTGCTGCTTGATCGAGGAGCACTCATTGTGGGTGCGCAGCGGTTCTTTTTTGATGAAGCCGTGAGGCTGGCGAAAAGTAATGGCCATTATGCCGCAGCAAGGCTCTTGGTTTCTTTTGAGGTCTCGCTTGTAGCAACCGGAGATTTCGTCGAGGATGGCGCTGAATATCCTGCTCATGTCGCAAGGGTAAGTGGCCATCCGCTGCAAATGGCCCTTCGGAGACCTGCGTGAAGGAAATCTCAAAGCAAGGGCCATAGTGTAACGATATATCGATCTGACCGCTTGAACAGGACTTCGATAACTATACCCAGAACTGGTGGTAGTTTCTTTCACCCAAACGATCATCTGTGTGTCAATCTATCATAATTGTTTTCTCATTCAGGACTCCCAGTCACTGAACTCTATGTACAATAAATGAAGACTGCGCTTTCACCAACGCCTTGAGGGCAACCATGTAATGACGATACCGTTTGGGGATGGTTGTCCGTTGATTCATGTCCCTCCATCGACTTCGTTGATGTTGCTCTCTCTCCCCCTGTCCCAGGTCGTCACACATCTACCATGACTTGAACCAGATATTCGACAGCTTTCTCTGCTCGTGGAAAGCCCTACGCCCTGCCAATTCCCACGGAACAATCCAAACGCAATTTTGTTCCTCGATAGTACCACCGCGTATGCATACAGGCCGGAAACCCCTTGAACGAGGTGGACTTGCTCGATTCAAAACGTACACAAGTTGACATTTTCCTCAACTCGGCCCGTTCTACTCTAATTTGTGATCGAACGCCGATACGCAGTGCATCTAGAGCGCACGAGCGGTATTGCTTCAGGCTTAAGAGCAAGAGAAGTACCTTGTAGATGTCAGGATTTACAGACTTGCGGGGGATGGGGTTTGTTGATGCTTCTTGGTTTTTCGGTTACTTCATTTAGACAAATATGACTTCCTTGTGTTTGGGTAGATGAACTGGCTAAGATTCCCTTGGCTGTACACTTTGGCCCATTGCCTCTTCGTAGCATTTGGTCGTAAGGCCCATATGTTGCTACCAGTGAACAGCAAAGCGAACGGAAAGCAGCAACAACATAGATAGGTTCGCGTGCCTACAAAAACTCAGGCCCTCACCTTAATGAATTGTTCGGTTCATCCAAGGCCACGTATAAGAAACGGGATCCCTCAGCCGACATTGCTCCTGCCCTGCTATATCTGGCGGCCAATCCAGTCCCCATAAAATTCTAATCACAAACACTTTCGGCTCCCTACCTTGAGCCTGAAATATGTGACTTAAGTAGAACCACGCATCGCAGACTAAGCAACTAGTGTTCTTGTGAGATGGACAAAACGCCCAAGAGACAACATTTCCAGATCACAGGAAGGCGAGCAGAGCGATCTTAAACGATTAGATGAGGTTAGATTAACATTCCAACATGGCCTTCGATGCATGCACATAAAGCCACAGCGACATGTCACATTGCGGAATATTCTCCCGAAAGCATACAAATGTCGCCGATAATTCTCCGGCATCACCTCTTCCTTCGACTGAACCTTCTTCAGTGAATAAAACTCTATACACATCTAATCTCACCTCGCCTTTACTACCCTTGGGTCTCGAATGACCCTTTCGCACTTGACGGGCCGGTGACGAGCTGGCTCCACGGTGCTGGCACCATGGCTGACATCAAGGCCGATAGGACCGACAAAACCGACAAGCCCGACACCAAGCACCAGCAGCGAACGGCTCCAGAAGCGACCAGTCAATATTCAGTGACTTCACTAGCACCAATAACGAGAGAAAGCCCCCCTAACCCACGAATATGAAGTGTTCAACATCCCAGCCCTATACCTATAGAAAAGCAGTTCCCACACCCTCTTTGTACTCTCCGCCCCCACCCACACCAACCCAACCCTTCCACCCAAATCAGCTTATTGCCCAGTGATCGACAAACAATATACTCTATACAGATAGCAGCTTAGTCTCATTGCACAAGGCCAACCAATCTCACCCCAAGAAGAAAGGTAGAAAGACAATCACCCCCTAACTAATCATCGGATCCGATCCTCCCCTCCGAGCGCGAGACCGATAAAGCCCGCGGAGACGGTCGTTCGTGAACGTCCGAGCCGCGCGGAGCGTCAGTCAGCTCGGCTCAGCTTAGCCCTATTTATTATGTATTCTACTTAAAGATAGGGTGATTTCTTACCTTAATGATATTAAAAAAAGACGAGTTACTTTCTTTTCTCCGACTCATATTTGTCTATAATATTCATCATTTCAGCGCTGAAAACCGACGGGGAAAGACAACATTTAGACATAATGGCTCCTTCCCATGAAGCAGCTATAAACGCTCATCCCGGTGATGAATACGATAAAGATGATCGGAATTCTCAAAATACCCTACGAGAGTCAGATCTAGCACACGACACAGAAAAGCAAGCGCCAACTCAACCTCCAGCGCAATCGCCGTGGGGATCGGCTGATCCCCCGCCTGATGGGGGATTTGCGGCGTGGTCGGTGGTGTTGGGGGCGTGGTGTGCGTATTTTTGTACTTTTGGGTGGATTAACAGTATGTTTATCCTTTTCCTTTTGCCTATTCTGTGTTGGTCTATCTTGCAAGAAAAGAGAGAAGAATCTGGCTTGTTGCTACGGACATGCTAATAAGTACAGGCATCGGAACGTTCCAGACTTATTATGAGACGACGCTGCTCAACGGGTACTCGACGAGTACGATCGCGTGGATTCCTTCGTTGGAGGTGTTTTTCATGTTTTTCATGGTTTGTTACTTCTCTCTACTCGGTACAACTTGAACATCTGAGGCTGGTCTGACACTCGATAGGGCCCCATTGTCGGCACGCTGAGCGATAGACTCGGTGCTCGCGTGGTCATCATCGCAGGCTCCTTCCTCCATGTCTTTGGCCTCATGATGACCTCCATTTCTACGGAGTATTACCAGGTCCTGCTGTCGCAGGGTGTCTGTAGTGCTATGGGACTGTGTGCTATTTTCCAGCCATCCATGAGCTCCATTCCCAGCTGGTTTAACAAGAAACGCGGCGCGGCGTATGGAATCATCGCTTCCGGGTCAAGTGCCGGGGGTGTGATCTTCCCTATCATGGTAGACCGGCTCATCACTCGTGTTGGCTTCGGGTGGGCGATGCGCATCGCTGCTTTTCTGATTCTGGGGTTGCTTGTCGTGACTTGCCTTACTGTGAGGTCGAGGATCCCGCCTATGAAACAGCAGATGGATAAGGAGGCCTTTATGCGGCCGTATAAGGAGGTGAAGATGTTGTTTCTTGTTTCCGGGTTTGTCCTGTTGACTTTCGGCGTGTTCATTCCTATCGATTACATGGAGACGTCGGCTATTGCGGATGGGATGAGTACGAATCTGGCGCAATATCTTGTCCCGATATTGAATGCTGGAAGGTGAGTGGTTGACTATGCTCCGAAGATGATAATTATGCTAATGGGTTGTAGTCTCTTCGGTCGAATGGGAGCAGGTGCATTCTCCGATAAAGTCGGGCCATACAACATCTTTGTCGTGGTCTGTTCACTGACGGGTATCCTGGTTCTCGCGCTCTGGATCCCTGCGACTAATAACCCCGGAAACATTGTCTTCGCAGTCCTCTTTGGTGTCACTTCTGGCGCGTATTTCTCTTTGTCCGCTGCCCTGGTAGCGAAGATTGCTCCGCTCCGGGAAATGGGTTACTGGACTGGCGTGCTCTTCCTGTTCGCGTCAATTGGTGCCTTGACGACCAACCCTATCGCAGGCGCAATTTTGCAGCGCGATGATGGGTCGTACACGGGCATGAAGATCTATTCGGGCGTCTTTCTGTTGGCAGGCACCGTGTGTGTCTTGATGACTCGTATTCGTCAAACGGGCTTGGTGCTCAAGGCGAAGTTCTGATTGTTTCCCTGTTGGCAATGTTCTGACATTCTCTGCTCATGTGTTTTGGTCTTTCTTGTTAATAAATAATATGTATATTCTTATGGCTGGTTTTCCCTGCCAAGCACGAACTCAAATTTGAGTATCCATCGAATGCTCGAAGCCCGTTATGTCGACACTCTGCATTAAGCCAGTCCAGTCCGGGAATCCAAGGACGCCAATATCCCAATTTACAAAGTCGAAGAACGACTCTACCATTGGCGCCTCCGCTTGGCTGGTACCTGTCGGTTGGGTCTCATCGACTGAGCCTGCGGCCTGCTCCACAGCCACCTGCATCTGTCGAATATACAACGCCTTGTCACGCAAGCGCGTAATTATTGCCCACTTTGGCCCCGGATTGGGCCACAACGGGTCCTTCTCGGTGAGGTCAAAGACCAAGTTGACTGCTCGCCATGCGCGTTCGACGTGCACCCCCAGTGGATACACACAAAGGTGCCACAAAATGTACGTGAGGAGAAAGTAAGGCATAAATGTAGAAGAGAGCCAGCGATATCCGCGGAGAAGCGCGTCCGTAAACATTTCATTGGTGCGTTCGAGGGCTTGGCAGGAGATGTCCAGGGTTTTGGTCTGCAATTCACGGCGCTCGGCGACCGGTATCGAGGTGCTATTCGTCTGGAGAGCTTTCTGGTTCAGGTACATTTCCATTTTTAGCACTAGAACCTCCCCTAGCAGCATGCCATGTCGCTGGATCGGAATATTTGGGTCGCCATGTTTTGTATAGGTATTGTATACGTGCTCTTTTGCTTCCCGTACTATCTCAGCGGGATCCTTTCCAGTGACTTTCGTTGTCAGTGTGCGATGCAGTTCCAGGCGCTTTTCGTTCACTACTGTCGTAATCAGGGATGCTGTCATCTCCGTCCAGCAGTCCTTGGAATCCGGCGGCACCATCGCCGTAGCAGAAAGGTCCTGGTCATCAATATTTGCTGGAAATGCGGTGTCGTAGACCTCTTCGCCGCTATTGACACCAACCCCATGATCCTCGACCGCGCGACTGTCAGCTGTACAAATGTGCCACCAGAGTCGTCGGCGCAGCTCACATTCCAGCGGAGTCAGCTTAAAGTGTCTCCCGTCACGGTGAAGACCAATGGACTGTGCTGCCCGAATTACCAACCCTCGCATCGTCCATCCAGAACGTCCGCTATTGTAATAACGTAGGCACATCTAACATACCGTGTCATGAGCTACATCGCACATAGAAATACTAGCCATCTGATTCTTACCTGGTAAATACTCATCGCTTGCAGCGATGTTAGGGTGGGAGCATCCAGAAAGTTCGACTGATAGAGAGCCAGTTCCAGACCTTGCTGGTATCGCTTGACTTCTGATTGCCTCTGTTCATGTGCTGGGTCCTCGGCAAGCACACTTGTTGTGGCCGCAAAGAAGATGGCAAAAA